GCTGGGGATGCTCCACTGTCCCCAGACCCACCACTGTCCTCACCCCCCGGCTCTCCCAGGGCAGCTCTAGTCTCACCCATCGCCCAGGGGCCCCCAATAATCCCCCAATTCTCTAGGCTCCCACCTCCTATCCATGACACCCCGGTAGCTGTCTCCACCTACGGCCCGCCAGACCATCTGCTGCCTCCACTGGGCACCCCACTGCCCCCAGACTGGGTGACGCTGGAGGAGGACTTTGTGCTCATGTTGGCCATCTCGCCCAGCCACCTGGGCGCTGACCTGGTGGCAGCTCCACACGCGCGCTTTGACGACGGCCTGGTGCACCTGTGCTGGGTGCGTAGCGGCATCTCGCGGGCTACGCTGCTGCGCCTTTTCCTGGCCATGGAGCGTGGTAGCCACTTCAGCCTGGGCTGTCCGCAGCTGGGCTATGCCGCGGCCCGTGCCTTCCGCCTGGAGCCGCTCACGCCTCGCGGAGTGCTCACGGTGGACGGAGAGCAGGTGGAGTATGGGCCGCTGCAGGCGCAGTTGCATCCTGGCCTCGGTACGCTGCTTACTGGGCCTCCGGGGTGTCCCGGGCGGGAACCCTGAACCTAAATGAGCTTGGAGCCCGCCGGGGGCGGGGCCTACATTCCAAGGGGGAGGAGCCTGAGCTAGGGGCGTGGCCCGGCTGCTAGAGTTGGAGGGGCAGCCCCCAAGCACAAGGGCCCTGACCCCGTCTCAGGACTGCACTCGCCCTCGGGGGACCAGACGCGATGCAGGAGGGTGGCCTGAATGCCAAGGGGTGAACGTCGTCACGGTTCACAGTGGGCTCGTCCCGAGGGTCGTGCCTGACCAATGAAGGCGGGGCCCGGCGTCTGAACTCCGGCCGCTCTCACGGGGCGGGGCTCAGTCCTGACGCTCGCAGCCAGCTCGTAGAAGACCGGGCAGCCGAGGGCGGGGCCTGCGCTACGCTTCGCCCAATGACGGGACCCGGGATGCACGAGCTGGAGGAGGCCTTAGTTAATTGGCCAGTCAGGCCCGGGTCTCGCCCTATCCACTCCGGTGCCTCCACTTAGCTGGCCAATCGGCCCAGGAGGGGCAGGATCCCCGGGCCGGCGCTAGGATTTGCACTAATGTTCCTCCCCCCGCAGGTGGGGGCGGGGAAACTCATACCCCCTGTTTTGTCTCATGTGCGTCCCTGTCCCCGATCTAAAAAGCAATTGAAAAGGTCTATGCAATAAAGGCAGTCGCTTCATTCCTCAGACCTGCCCTCCTCCATCCGACAGCCTGGGGAGGGATCCGACTCCAGCACTTCAGCAGCTCCCGCCTGTTAATGGCCGGCAGCCCAGATCTGCCCACAGGCTGTAGCCAGTATGACCTGCTGGCCTTGAACCCGGGCCAGGGAGCTGCCTCCTCTTCCACAACAGCTGGCTCTGGGGTTCTCAAGATTTATTCAGGCTCGTGTTAACGGAGGCGGTGGGAGAACGGGGTCCCTGACGTGCCGGGGGCACACACAGAGGACCCTCCCCGCCCCCGCGAGGGAGGGGGGAGGCTCGCTTTTTCTTAAAAATATAAATGTATTTATCTGCATCATTATGTCCCTGGGGCACCCAGCTGGCCGGCCCGTGGGCCACAGGGCAGGGAAAGAACAGGGCGTCAGGGCGCAAGTCTGAGCGAGGCGGGAGAGAGCTCCGCCAGGTGGGGGTGGGGGCAGCCTCACAGGGCCCCGTGCTGGGCCTGGTATCGGGACAGCACCGCGCGGTAGTGGGACAGCTCCTGGCGCACGGCCACCACCTCCTGCCGCAGCAGGGCGTTCTCCTTCTCCAGGAAGGCCGCCCGCACTGATATCTGGTTCTCCTTGAGCCGCCGGGCGTCGCGGGACCGCTTGGCTGCCTCGTTGTTCTTGTACCGCCGGCTCCAATACTTCTCATCCTGGGGATGGAGGGGCAGGAGGGCACTGAGCTTCGGAGGGGCCCAGCTCCCAGCAAGAGAGGAAGGGAGTTCCAGCAGTAGGGTCTAGAGAATTTTGGGTCTCTGCTGGGAAAGGTATTCAAGGGTCTCCCCTTCTAGAGCCCTGGTTGCTAAGGGAAGCAGGGCTCTAGCAACAGCTAGGGCATGAGCCGGACCAGTTGCTAAGGATGCTTGTTCCCTAGCAACAAGGCCTTCAGGGTTCAAGGCTTCTCCCAGTGAAAAGCACTGCCCTATACATCACCTTTCCAGTCCTGGTTGCTAAGGAAAGCTTAGGGCCCCTAGCGATGGGGCTTGGTGTCCCATAAAATCCTCCAGAGCTGGGGCCCTTTTGACCTGGTTGCCAAGGCAACTACATTCCTCTTCAGCAAAAAAAAAAAAAAAGTGAGATCTAAGTGGTCCCAAAGACTGTAGTCAGTATCTGACCTGCTAGCCTTGAACTGAGGCCAGGAAGCTGCCTTGTCTTCAACAGGACCTCACAGAAGAGTTGTCCTTTAAGAAAGAGGACTATCCTGAAACCTCCCCAGAGGTTCATACCTAGGGTCCTTGGGTCCTGGAATCTGGTTGCTAAGGAGGATTACTCCTTAGCAGCAAGGACCACCCAGCTCAGAAAGATGCTCCTCCCTCCTCCATTTAATTAAAGCCTAGTTCCTGCTTGCTAGGGCAAATCCAGTCCCTAGCAACAGGGCCTCCTAGCTGAAGAAACCATGGGTCCACATTTGGCTTATAGGCAGGTCCTAGGTGCTTCAAGTAGCTGTGTCTTACGCAAGGGTATGGCAAAGTCTTGTGACAGAAACCAAAGCACCTCTTGCTAGGAAAGACCCCAGTAATGGCAAAAACAGAATGCTACAAAGACGGTCACTACCCAGACCACCCCAAAGCAGAATGTGGCCCTGGCTGCTAATGGGAACATGAGGCCTCCTGTCAGTAAGAAGTCCAGGCCCAGGAAACAATGCCCGAGAGGTCAGCAAAGTCTGTAACCTAGGCAGATGCCATCACTCTGAAGGAGGCCTCAAATCAGACATCAAAGGTCCAAGTCCGTCCTGGCTGGTTGCTAAGGAAGATTGTCATCCTTAGCCACTGTGCCTGGTGGTGCCTAAAGCCTGCTCCATAGAGGGCTCTGGGTTCAAGGGATAGGAGAAGCTCTGAGTCTGCACAACCACAATGGCTGAGTCTGCATCCCACAATGACACTGTCTTCATAAATCCCAGGCCAAAACCCCTGCCCCCTTGTGCCCCATGGCCGAGGACTAATCCTCCTCCTGCTACAGGCCAGGAAAGGCTGAGCCCTAATCCCAGTGAGAAGCCCCAGCCTGACTGTGACAAAAGACCCATCCTCCGCCAGCTGTGGGGCCTGTCCCCAGGCAAGCCTGTGTCCCACGTGTGGTGTGCTCACCTTCTGTTCCTCTGGCACCTGGATTTTCCTTGCCTTCTTCATGATTGGCTGGGGCTTAAGTTCTTCCTCTGAGAAACGGTGTCTCCTAGGGTCAAAAGTCTCGTGACCAGGAATGCTTGACAGGGCAAGATCTGCTGGGTCGGGTTCAAAGGTCATCAGCACCTCCACGGTGTCTGGGTCCACAGGGCTGGGTGTGTCCCGAGAGGTCAGGCCTTGGGGAAGCAGAATGTGTCAGCTGAGCGTATTTATTTTGAAGAAGGGGCTCCCAGAAGCTCCTGGAATATGATACTGCTCAGGTATAATATCCCCCACAGGGAAGGCCTTTCCAGGGTCTAGCATAAAGCCTGCCTGGGCATAACTTCCCTAATATAAAATAAGAAGGTTCCAGAAGCCATAAAGGCGCTTGGACATCATGGAACCAACTCCACTTTCACAAATTGGGAAACGGAGGCCTAGTCACAACCGACTTGCTCTACATAACACACTAATCAGAGTTACTGCTTAATTCCAAAACCTCAGAACTTCAGATTCAGCGTTACTTTCTTCCCATGGTCCAGCCTGAATCCTACTTACTGAATTCATGACCAAAGCTTAGATCCTAGGCTGTCCAGAGAAAAGGAATCTACCGCCCTGAAATGCTCTCAAGTGAGAAAAGGTTAGGCAAGAAAATCGGAAGTGGCTCTCAGATTCCCAAAGGTTGGCTCGAAAGGACGCGCCTGTGCCTTTAAGCGCGAGCCGGCCGGGGCCAGCTGAGGACACAGGTTCAGGGCCGAGTCACGTGCCGAAGCCTGCTTCCCTCCTCCCAGCCGCCTCCCTCCCCCACAGCCAGGGCGCCCTCACGTTCCCCCGCCCCGCCCCCTCGCGCGTGACAGCGCGTGCGCGAAGCGCGGAGGAGGGAGGGGAGGACTCACGTGGCGCGGGAATGTGCGGCGGGGAAGGGTAGGGCCCTGCTTCTGTGCGGAGGTCGGACCTGGGGCAGTTGTGCCCAGGAATCCCCAACCTGCAGGTCGTCCCAGGAGACCTCAGTGCGCTCGAAGGGGAACACCTTCCCGCCCAATGCGTCTGGTCTCTCAGCTCCAACCTCTCAACTTCCAAAGATCCCGACCCCGTGCTCTCTGGGGAGCATCGGCTCCCTCGACCCTCTCCCCGGGCTCACAAGCCCTTCGCCACTGTGGTACCCGATTCTGGGATGCCCCAGGCTTCTCTTCTCGCAGAAATAAAGGAAGCTTGTCCCTCGCCCCAGCTGGAGGATGCAAGATCCCTGACCTCGTTCTCTTTGGAGAACTCTTAAGTGTCCGGAGCTGCAGCCCTCCCCACCGAGGGGCCCTGGAGCCCAGGCTGCCAGTGTCCTATGTCCTTGACGCAGAGGGCCTAGGAGTTCCGGTCCTACCCCGGTTTCACCGACTCTGGGCCCAGATTACAGGGTCCAGTCCACTTCCCCGTAAATAACTCCGGTGTACCGCACTTCCGGTTCCGGCTCCGTGAGTGGCGCCCCTCTGTCCCCAAGTCCCACAGAAAAAGCCGTATCTTCTTTCTGGGCAGGCCTCCCGGAATTTGGAATTTGGGGTCCCAAGTCCCTCCTCCTCCCTGTGCGTCCAGAAGACAAAGTCCCGGATCCGTTAGGGGACACAGAACCCGGCCCCGTCCCGCGACATCTCTCCACAGGGGAACTCAGAGCTCGAGCCCACCGGCCCGACCCCGGGGCCGCGCAGCCCCGCCCCCTGCGCCCAAGCCCCGCCCAGCAGGGTCCCACCCCGCCCCCT